ATCCTGTGGCAACAAAATCGGTGACTTCTGCATTGCTAACATTCCTCGGAGATTTGATCTGCCAGGTAGACTTTGTTTATCGGTCCTCTTTGTTTATTGCCGGAAAAAATGAGCACTTCGACTGCAATATGAGATTTGACACTCGGCCATACTAATTCTTGATCTTTTTTGACACAGCTCGTGATTGATCAAGCGCCATCATTGGACCTGAAAAGAAACTCACCATCGGCTGGTGTTAGTGGGTCCTACGCTTCACTTCTGGTAATGCCTCATTGCTTTTGTCCACTTAAGCAAGTCAATGCTCCCTCTGGGTATTGTCTGTTCTATTTCCTGTAAAATCTTATGGAAGAAAGAATGTATCTGAGGTTTCTGGTAGTTGAATGTGGTGTAATCTGTATTTGTCTGCTGGACGAACACTGGAATGTCTTGTTCTCAACTTTGATTACTTTTTCCATTAGTTATGCTGCATGTACTTAGATAATATATAGGATCAGTTAGTGCAGTCACCTGAACCCATCTTTTTCTAAGAGCAGAACATACTTAAGATAAACTATCCAGTGCTTCTATGGAGCTCTATCTCCTGCATTTTATGACACCATTCTGTGCTCCTGCAGGTACTTATACTTGAGCCAGTTAGTAACTGTGCCTGGTGCATCAGGAGCTTTTGTGCGTCTTCTACTTGATCAGGTGACGACTAGGTTCTTTATGAGGTCACTGAACATTAAGCTTGATATTTTGCTAATGAATCGAGTCTAAGTGTGATCAATCTTTTATCCTTGTGTTTGTCTATTCTATTGAACTAGTTTGCTTTGCGTTCATTTATCATAACTATTTAGTAACTTCTGTCCTGGTGCTTTAATGGCTACCCCTTCTATTATGCTTTTATTTGGATTTAAGTATTTGCTTGTGATACAAAGTTTGTTAACTTTGACACAGCTCGTGATTGATCAAGCGCCATCATTGGACCTGAATAGAAACTCACAAACACAAGGATAAAAGATTGATCACACTCAAGACTTGATTCATTAGCAAAATATCAGAAGTGCAACGTAGGACCCACTAACATCAGCCGATGATATTATTATGCTTGGCCTTTACCCTCATTTGCAATGATAACAGATCTACTTTGGAAACTTTCACGCCCAACGCTGCACATGAATTCTCACAAAACAAAACCTAAACGCTTCCATCTAGGCAAGTGTCAAGCAAAACCCACTTTCCTCATATCAGATAGATTTTCTTGATCTGAAATTCTATGAGTACATTGACTCCCAAAAGTACCCTTCAGATTCATCAAATCAGGACAGGATGAAAATCCAAACCACTCCATCAGATTTTAACCTAAATAACAGCTGTATTTACATTCAAAATCACATCAATTAATTCTCAACTAAATCAATTAATTTTATATTTAAAATAATCTGTGGCCAGGCCTCTTTGATGAACTTCAACTGTAACTCACTAAGCTTATCGAGCTGACGAGAACAGAAAGCAAAACTTTATTTAGACGAGCTCGGAAAGGGTCAGGAAGCATCAGCAGCACAACATAACTAATCCAGAGGAATAGAAAAGAAACCGTGATTCTTGCTTCTTATCACAAGAAAACAAAGATTAATTTGTCAATTAAACATCATAAGCAGTTTACAGTGGCGACTCAACCTGCCCAGTTGCCACTCAACATCAACAAATTAAACCCGAATAAATTCTTCTGTCATACACAAATGCGATCCTTTAAGTACTCCATACAAATGAATGTCAGACTAAAACGTTAACCCCAGTACGGAGAGGTAAACACGAACAGGAACAAAACTTCTTCCCGGTCTTGTAGCACTCCATGGTACAGCAAAGTGAATCTACCACTCTATTTCCGCACAAGTTACAACCAGAATACATTTGCCACATACATAATGGGGGAAAAGCCCAACGGAGAAGGTGCCGGTCTGCCATGCCTCGAGTGAGAATCTCGAACTCGCTTGGATGTCTGGGCGCGGGAGTCACCAATTCTGCCTTCATTTACTCTGGCCGCAAAGTTAAGAGATCGCAACGACTCCGTAGCTGAAGAGGGCTCCGAAGAAACGTTGACGAACATCAGCGTCTTGGAATCTCCCCCCAAATATGGCCGATTCAGACTTTAAGTTAGAATAAGAAAATCTTCGATATGCCAACTCATAAGAAGGTTCTACGCAATATGACAGGTACAATATTAACACAGCCAAGTTATCATTACAGCTGAAGAATTGGAGAAGGAAATGCACCTGAAGAAGTCTTGTCAGCTTAGAATCTTTAAACATCACATTCTCCTCTTTGTCTGCCACGCCACGTATAAGAACACCCAGCCAAGTCAAACTTAAATTGATCATCTGATTAACAGTGAAAAATAAAGAATTAGCCGCTCAAGAGGAATAGCAGGTAAAATAAACGAACACCGCAATAAAAAAAGCTACTATTCTACTACTATACAATTGCTTTTTTCTTTTTTTCTCCCACTGCCTCGCTATCCCGCTCACTCCCAGCGAGATTAGCAAGGTTGAGCACACTTTCCACCACTTCTTTAGTGTTCTAAAATAATTGTGTAAATAAAAAAAATTTAGTTAAATAGCCAAAGCAACGGACATAACAGCTGAATTGAATAACGTAGTAAGAATTGTTTCAAACTTGTTCATCCCGGATATTTGCAATTCTGAGATAAAATGACTTCTTGATGGCCAAGAGCTCTTCGAGGTCTCATATGAACCTAAAGAAACAAAAGTGTACGTGAGCGATCGAGACTCATTCAACCACATTAAACTAAAACATGAAAATTCTAATGCCATAGATGTCGATAAGAACAAGACGAGTTGTCCACAAACCTTCTTCGTGCAGCAATATTCAAAACCGAGTAACTTCATCGATACTGTGTACACAAAGTTCGATGAGCTCAGCTACAGTGGCATCGTGCTTAACTCGTCTCGGACTACCACGCTTCGACATCAAATCATGAGCTTCATCATTGTAGATCTCGAGCATCGAAACCTAAATTGCACCACCATATATTAGCTACTATGCAGCAAAGTCAAAAGGAAACAAATAACATAATTAACAAAAATTTACTTTGAGGGTGTGCTCCCAGCCTTGTGTCGAAAGGGTGAGAACCGTTTGAAATATCTGCTCAAGAGAATGCGGTATCAACCCCTTCCGTTCCGGAGATTCGTGTTCACCCAACATGGTATAAGTCTTTCCCGAACCTAAATGACCGTACGAAAATATACAAATCTGCGAAATATCTAAAAAGTGAAATTCTTCGACTAAGATAAATTTATTTTGTTTTATAGCTTGGCAGTTTTTGTTATATAATTGAACTAAAAAAGAAAAACCGCAAAGTATAGTATCCATTGCAACAAATTAAGCAATTGAACTAAAGAATTTGGTTATTTCAATTGTTTGATTTGTTGCAATGGAAACAATACTTTGCAGTTGTGCTTTTTTAGTTCAATTATGTAATAAAAACTAACTAGCTGTAAAATAAAATAAATTTATCTTAGTTGAAGAATTTCACATCTTAGATATTTCGCAGGTTTGTATATTTTCGTACAGTCATTTAGGTTCGGAAAAGACTTATACCATGTTGGGTGAACACGAATCTCCGGAACGGAAGGGGTTGATACCGCGTTCTCTTGAGCAGATATTTCAAACGGTTCTAACCCTTTTGGCACAAGGCTGGGAGCACACCCTCAAAGTAAATTTTTGTTAATTATATTATTTGTTTCCTTTTGGCTTTGCTGGATAGTGGCTAATATAAGGTGGTGCAATTTAGGTTTCGATGCTCGAGATCTACAATGATGAAGTTCATGATTTGATGTCGAAGCGTGGTAGTCCGAGACGAGTTAAGCACGATGCCACTGTAGCTGGGCTCATCAAACTTTGTGTACACAGTATCGATGAAGTTACTCGGCTTTTGGATATTGCTGCACGAAGAAGGTTTGTGGACAACTCGTCTTGTTCTTATCGACATCTATGGCATTAGAATTTTCATGTTTTAGTTTAATGTGGTTGAATGAGTCTGATCGCTCACGTACACTTTTGTTTCTTTAGGTCTGTGGCGGAGACCTCGAAGAGCTCTCGGTCATCAAGAAGTCATTTTATCTGTAAATTGCAAATATCCGGGATGAACAAGGTTGAAACAATTCTTACTACGTTATTCAATTCAGCTGTTATGTCCGTTGCTTCGGCTATTTAACTAAATTTTTTTTATTTACACAATTGTTTTAGAACACTAAAGAAGTGGTGGAAAGTGTGCTCAACCTTGCTAATCTCGCTGGGAGTGAGCGGGATAGCGAGGCAGTGGGAGAAAAAAAGAAAAAAGCAATTGTATAGTAGTAGAATAGTAGCTTTTTTTATTGCGGTGTTCGTTTATTTTACCTGCTATTCCTCTTGAGCGGCTAATTCTTTATTTTTCACTGTTAATCAGATGATCAATTTAAGTTTGACTTGGCTGGGTGTTCTTATACGTGGCGTGGCAGACAAAGAGGAGAATGTGATGTTTAAAGATTCTAAGCTGACAAGACTTCTTCGGGTGCATTTCCTTCTCCAATTCTTCAGCTGTAATGATAACTTGGCTGTGTTAATATTGTACCTGTCATATTGCGTAGATCCTTCTTATGAGTTGGCATATCGAAGATTTTCTTATTCTAACTTAAAGTTTGAATCGGCCATATTTGGGGGAGATTCCAAGACGCTGATGTTCGTCAACGTTTCTTCGGAGCCCTCTTCAGCTACGGAGTCGTTGCGATCTCTTAACTTTGCGGCCAGAGTAAATGAAGGCAGAATTGGTGACTCCCGCGCCCAGACATCCAAGCGAGTTCGAGATTCTCACTCGAGGCATGGCAGACCGGCACCTTCTCCGTTGGGCTATGGCCGCCAAACAAACCATGCGGTGATACGTCTTTCCCCATTATGTATGTGGGAACTTGTGCGGAAATAGAATGGTAGGTTCACTTTGCTGTACCATGGAGGGCTACATTGAAGACAATAGAAAGGTATGTATGCAACCGTATTCTTTTTCCTTTACTGAAGTGTTTCTCAGGTGCGATAGTGACTTTGTACTATCGGGTGCCTGTTAAATGAAATATGACTTTCTTTTACCTCAATTTCCTACTGCCAGACCAAGTGGTGTCCTGCCCCCGGTTGTAAATATGCTGCTGGCAGTGAAGGTTACGATGTTTCCTGTCTATGCTCTTTCAACTTTTGCTGGAATGTAAGCTTCTCTTCGGAAATTTCTCCCATCGATATGTAGCAAATAGTGTGTTGACATCCTTTGGATTTGATCTGCTGCAGCATACAGAGGAAGCTCACCGTCCAGTAGATTGTGGCACTGTTGCAAAGTGGATCATGAAGAACAGTGCCGAATCTGAAAACATGAATTGGTACAGATAACTTTATGCATTTTGCCACCATTTGGGTTCCATGACAACGGTATACAACGGATTGTGTGGTCTCTCCTCTTTCAAGAAACAAGAAAGTTCTATATGAATTAACTAGCCTAGGCATTCCGGCCAAAAAAAAAGAAAAAGAACTAGCCTTGGCATAGATAGTCCTATTTTGGCATGCTTTTATCAGCAATGTGAGATATTCGAGTTGCTAAAGGGTTTTTTTATATATGGTGCAACCTTTGGACCTTCAAAAAGGATGACTCTTGGGGCTTAGGGAGCCAGTCTACTGAGTACAGGACTTACACAAATATGCTTTTTTTGTAGTTAAATTTTGAATCCTTGGAATGTCTTAATAGATGGATATGCTTGTTCACATGGCTATTGCATTCGCATATATTCGCTGGAAGAGATCTAATAACTCTAAATTGTGTGACTTGTCTGGAGGATACTGATGTCACCCGCGTCAGTTTGAAGTTTGAACATACAGCAATTCTAAATGTATCATTTCCTTTTTCTTATTTTAGTAAAATACTTCGTCTAGCCACTGCAATTCTCCTTTTGATTTCTTTATACATGTTTAGTACTCCAATCTGGTCCTATACAGATGTGGAATTACCAACAGGCTGGAAGAACCATCTGTATGGTTTATATAATGAGTCGATGCTTGTCAACCATTTTCTGTCCCTATGGCTTAAGGTTATGGTTTTACATGCTTGCGTGGAAACTGACTAGTGTTATGTTTTGCCTATATAGTTTTTCTGTTGATTTTTTTTTTTTTTTGGGGTTGGGGGTGGGGGGGGGGAGAAGACTCTTCTTTTAGTGTCTATATTTATAATTGATCTTAAAATTCTACATTCATCATCCCACTGACCACGGCAAATGTATATCAATATGAAAGTTTTATAGGATGACGTCTTCTTGTCTGTGGAGGGTGGTGGATGGGAGCCATGGAAATGGAGTCCAATTAGTTACACTCCACTACATGTTGAAGTTTTGATTGAGCTAGTAGTATTAGGAGGCTCCTCAACAGATCTGACTGGGATAGGTTTTCTAGAATTGTACAATGACTGATATGGTGTCGTCCAAATTAATACTCTATTGTTTTGATAGACGACACTTTCCTACTGGACGGTTTGATCAGGCTTATTTCTGTTATTTTGTCTGCCTTTTGGGTCATACATGCTGAAAATATATGTTTGGCAAGGTTGTTATTTGTAAAGTTGTCGGCGGCATGTTGACAACCCAAGTGAACGGAATTGAAGCTCTTTTCTAGAAATAAGATTGGCCTCGTGGAAAATGTTATGATGGGACATGCAGAAGTTTGATTAACATAGTGTGGCCGGTTGTTTGTATCTTCAATGATTTATTGTGGCAATATGTTCTGCAAAATAGGATGACAGGATAGAGCTAACGTTTTGCAGAATGTCTGCAAGATTATGACTCTTTATTTCATGTGAAATGTTGGGAATCCTACCTGGGGTAGTTTGCCTCTGAGAATGAATTTGGACAGTTATGCTCCCTCCAATAATTGCCACGTTTTCTTCATTTGGATGCAAAATTTTGAGAAAGACTTGCATGAAATTGTGATTCAGGTGTCCGGAAATGTCATTATGTGAGAATTTGTGGTTCTTGCTCTGCTTTCCTAACTGATATGAAATGATATGCAGGATTATAGCCAATTCAATGCCTTGTCCAAAGTGTAAGCGGCCAATAGAGAAAAACCAAGGGTGTATGCATTTGACATGTACACCTCCTTGTAAATTTGAGTTCTGCCGGTAAGGTTACTTTCTTCTAAACGGAGCATTTTCATTTATTTTTGTGTACTCATTTTTATTGGGTCTATTCTTATGGTTGACAAAGTAATTTTCCATGAGCCGGTATTGTATGCATCTTACTTGTTCTACATTATCTGTTCAAACAGGCTCTGTCTGGGAGCATGGTCTGATCATGGGGATAGAAGTGGTGGTTTCTATGGCTGCAATCGTTATGAGACAGCCAAGCTGGAGGGAGCGGTAGGAATTGAAAAACTTTGGCTCTTCTCGGGCAAAGTTATGTGAACACCGTGGAACTGACATTGTTGGATTTGGTCCTGTGAAAATACCTTTTTGCAGTATGATGAGGCTGAGAGAAGAAGAGAGATGGCGAAAACTCACTGGAGAGATATACTCATTATTATGAACGATGGGCGAGCAATCAATTCGTAAGTAGTGATACTCTCCCGGGTTTTCTGGGTCTAACGACATCGTCTAGTCTTCGCTTTCCCCTACCCTTTCTCTGTTTGTCAAATTATCTCAAAAGGATGTCGAGGGAACCTCATCGAAAACCATTGTGGTTCCTTGACGACCTATGTTTATTGCCATTCGTGATGTTGCTGATGAATGTCTAGATAAGTTCCTTCGATTTTCTTCTCAATTATATAATTGAGGATGAAAAAGTGCCGAAGGAAGGATTATAGAGGAAATAAATTTTGTTTTTTGTGTTTTAAACGAATTAGAAGTTAAGAAAGAAAATGGATGACGTTGAATAACCAGAATCGACTGTACACTTTTGGACTTATATTTTCCCGAGTCCTTGTTTGGTTATCAGGACACAAAACCGAGTTAAGTCTTCTCAAAAGCATCACAAGAAATCATTGTAATTCCATGGGCTTTTACACACCAAACTTAGAAACCAGATGTCCTGTGTAGTATTTAATTCTTTTTTCGCAGAATCTGGGCAAAGCCTAATTATATAGTCCTCTCTATCCATCTCTAGGAAGGGCATTGTTTGCTGGGCTATTCATGTTGCATCCATGACGATAGAGGCATCTGTGTCGAATCTGTTCTAAAAAATGTGCACTTAGTTTTGTCAGATTTCTCAATCTACCCACGTGATAGCTTTTTTAGATTTCTCAAATCAACGCATTACTTCCCTTTCTAGGTTTTACTTTGGTAATTGAACAAGATGTGTCCCTCTACATGAAAAACTATCCCACAAATTTTTTGGATCTCGGAAACCAATGTCTTAAGCCATAAATAAAGTCGTATGTAGATAGAGTATGATTCATGCTGTGACTTTGGTTCAATCATCTAGGTTTTGACGGTCCAATGCCGAATAGGACTTTATGTACATTATGTTAATTACATTCGTATCGCTCCTTGGATGTCTTGACCATGTTATATGATTGGCTGAGGCATTTTGATATCAGGAATCTTTTGATGGTTCATTCGATGTAAGAGTTCTAGCATTGCTACTTCAAAAATTCCTTGAAATAACATTGACTTGGCTATGCTTTCTTTTAGGCTATATTTGGAAAGCAGAGAAAGCGAGGGGAATGAAACTGTGAGTGAAAAATTAAGAAAAATTTGAAATTTTTTTAAGGAGGAGAAGAGAGGGAAATTTTTGTTTTTCCAATTTTCTCGTTTACTTTTCTTTCGCTGCCCAATCCAAATAGAGCATTAGTGTACATAGAGACGGCTGATGTTTGTCTTACTTATATGCGAAATCTCTCTTTATTTCGGCAGTGAAGGCAGAAAGCTCTTGCTGATTTACGTCAAACGCAAGCTGTGCATGTAAGTTTCATTCAACTCAGCTGTGATCATGCTGTTTACTGAAGTGGTAATAGAGGGAGATTGGTACTTGATGTTTCTTTTTTGCTTGAAGTATTGGTATTTGACTTGTTAGCTATACGTGCAATGAATAGCCGTAGTATGTGTCTTCTTATTTTCTGTCGGGTATAGACTCTGGGTTCCTTGATGACACACATTTACTGAGCAAATGACAGCAAATTGTAGGAGCCATGGCTTAGCTTCAGTCGATACTCTCTTGTAAGCGTGGTTCATGTACGACCAAATAAATGATGCTTTGGTCAAAACAGGGGATTCCTGGTTGTGGTCTTTATGAGTTTTCTATAAAAGATGTGACGTTTTGACTCTGCACCATTATTTTCTCCTCTCTTTGCTGTTCACAGACATAGGTTTGCAGCCCCCGAAGGGCTGGTGAATGTGCTTATCCTACTATCTAGATGCTCGGGATCGAGTCATGCATGTAACCCTCTGATGAGGATGGCGTACCTTTGTCCAAGCGACCCCATTCATAGACTTAAGCTAATAGGCCAAAGCTTTGTTGGGATTGGGGAAAAGAAGATGAGAGAGAGGGTGGCGGGATTAATGGTTGATGCGGGGATGCATTTAAATATGATATTCTCCCCTCACGAGTTTTTGAGTTTAACCCCATTTTCCACGGCCCCCTCTCCGCTTCCACCCCTCTTCTCTCTCCCCCTCCCTTCTTTCCAAACACAGCCTAAGCCTCAGCTTTGATATAGGTGCTGTTGGGGTCCCCAGGTGGCATATGTTTCCTACCGTTGTTGTTATTGCTTGGCTGATGCCTAAGCTCATCGTCGTGTTTAAGCTTTCTGTACCCTTCATACATGACTTGTGAAGTCTGAATAACAAAGTTTAGAATTAAATGTCAAATTTTTGCCTAGGTGCCATCTTGTTTGTCACTTTTGCTCCCTGCTTTTTTTATTTATTGTATAAATGTAAAATGTAACATAAGTGGCACAGAGGATTTAGCCTGTATATCTAAGAAATAGCTTGTTCTGTCTTACCTTCCAGTTTTACTTACATTAGTGGCCAAGTACCAAGGTTCCTCTATATCTGCAAGATCACTCTGTAGGCCCTTGAATCACTCTTTTTCTTCCTCTATCCGCACTAGCCAAAAAATTGTAGATAGGGTCATTTGTGGTTTCTTCCGTTTGTCTTTTCTTTGATCCAATGCCTGCTGAGAAAGTTGTATGAGGGATCTTTTCCTTCCAGTGATCCTCTTAAAGGATGTGTGCTCAAAATTGGGTCGGTGATTGTTAGTCATCTGCTGAGTCATTTTGGAAGAAAAAAATGGCCCGTGTTTACTTGATTCAATTTTTTAACAATCCATGCACAGCACAATTTTGTACTGTGATCTGCACTCCGAGTATAAATTAAGTTAAATAAGTTCCAGCATTCAGGGTTCTTCTTTTCATTTAATTGTTAATATCATTGTCAACAGACTTATATTTGCCCGGAAAGAGAATGGACAGACTCTTAATTTCAAAGAGCAAGATGCGAATATAGTTATTATACGAATTCCAAATTTAATAAACTTAACATGATCGTTTTAACATATCATCAACGGTCAAATTTTTTGGATGTGGACGTTTGTTTGGTGACAGCTAGAATTTGTTTTGTTATCCCTTTGGCATATCTTTCCGAGGGCTGCTTCTTGGAAAAGCTGCAGCCTGCAGGAGCTTTGAGCTCCTATAGACTTTAGGGCAAAATGAAAATGTGTGAAATGTGAGACTGGCAAACGCAACAACACTGTGTAGCTGATCTTGGGGATTTGCTTCTTGGCTATTGTGTTTCGAAGCATTTTTAGCTCTATCATTTTGGTGAAAAGAAGTACCCGCAACGACAAGATGTGTGACCATTACCAGGCATCATCTGTGTGTGTGTTTTGTCTTCAGCTGAAAGATATCACTCTGTTGGAAGTATTTCTTTGTATTAACTGTGCACTTTCGAGATGTACATGCTTTTACTCCCGTGCCCTCTGATGTCGTTTGATGAATGTGGACATTGTGATAGGTTACAGACGCAAATCAATAAACGATGGTCCTGGATGTTTAAGATTGAGATGTCCTGATCCATCTTGAGGTGCTGCCGTTGGTCAAGACATGATAAATCTTTTAGCGCCTAAAGATGAGAAGAGAGTACTCTGAATATCTTCTTCGCTCGTACATTGCATGCGACCGTATTCTTTTTCCTTTACTGAAGTGTTTCTCAAGTGCGATAGTGACTTTGTACTACCGGGTGCCTGTTAAATGAAATATGACTTTCTTTTACCTCAATTTCCTACTGCCAGACCAAGTGGTGTCCTGCCCCCGGTAGTGAATATGCTGTAGAATATGCTGCTGGCAGTGAAGGTTACGATGATTCCTGATTCCTGCCTATGCTCTTTCAACTTTTGCTGGAATGTAAGCTTCTCTTTGGAAATTTCTCGCATCGATATGTAGCAAATAGTGTGTTGACATCCTTTGGATTTGATCTGCTGCAGCGTATGGAGGAAGCTCACCGTCGTGTAGATTGCGGCATTGTTGCAAAGTGGATCATGAAGAACAGTGCTGAATCTGAAAACATGAACTGGTACAGATAACTTTATGCATTTGCCACCATTTGGGTTCCATGACAACGGTATACAACGGATTGTGTGGTCTCTCCACTTTCAAGAAACAAGAAAGTTCTATATGAATTAACTAGCCCAGGCATTCCGCCCAAAAAAAAAAAAAAGAACTAGCCTAGTCATAGATAGTCCTATTTTGGCATGCTTTTATCAGCAATGTGAGATATTCGAGTTCCTAAAGGGTTTTCTTTATATATGGTGCAACCTTTGGGCCATCGAAAAGGATGACTCTTGAGGCTTAGGGAGCCAGTCTACTGCATACAGGACTTACGCAAATATGCCTTTTTGTAGTTAAAATTTTGAATCCTTGGAATGTCTTAATAGATGGATATGCTTGTTCTTGCTATCACATGGTTATTGCATTAGCATATATTCCCTGGAAGAGATCTAATAACTCTAAATTGTGTGACTTGTCTGGAGGATAATGATGTCACCCGCGTCTGTTTGAAGTTTGAACATACAGCAATTCTAAATGTATGATTTCCTTTTTCTTGTTTGAGTAAAATACTATGTCTAGCCACTGCAATTCTCCTTTCGATTTATTTACTCCCATCCTGTCCTATACAGATATAGAAATACCAACAGGCTGGAAGAACCATCTGTATGGATTATATAATGAGTCGTTGCTTGTCAACCATTTGCTGTCCCTATGGCTCAAGGTTATGGGTTTTACATGCCTGCGTGGAAGCTGACTAGTGTTATGTTTTGCCTATATAGTTTTTCGGTTGTTTTTTTTCTTTTTTGGGGGGGGGGTGGGAGTAGACTCTTCTTTTAGTGTCTATAGTTGTAATTGATCTTAAAATTCGACATTCATCATCCTACTGACCATGGCAAATGTATATCAATATGACGGTTTGACGGGATGAGGTCTTGTCTGTGGAGGGTGGTGGATGGGAACCATGGAAATGGAGTCCAATTAGTTACACTCCACTACATGTAGAAGTTTTGATTGAGCTAGTAGTATTAGGAGGCTGCTCAACAGATCTGACTGGGATAGGTTGTCTAGAATAGTTCAATGACTGGCATGGTGTCGTCGATATTAATACTCTATTGTTTTGATAGCCAGCACTTTCCTGCCGTAGTCTTTTTGTCCTGTTTCTGGACGGTTTTGTCTAGCTTATCTCTGTTATTTTGTCTGCCTTTTGGGTCATACCTAGTTTATCACAGCAGGCAGGTGGTTCACGGTGAAAATATATGTTTGGCAAGTTTGTTATTTGTGAAGTTGTCGGCGGCATGTTGACAACCCAAGTGTACAGAATCGAAGCTCTTTTCTAGAAATAAGATTGGCCTCGTGGAAAATGTTATGATGGGACATGCAGAAGTTTGATTAACGTAGTGTGGCCGGTTGGTTGTATCTTTAATGATTTATTGTGGCAATATGTTCTGCTAAATGGGATGACAGGATAGAGCTAAGGTTTTGCGGAATGTCTGCAAGGATATGACTCTTTATTTCATGTGAAATGTTGGGAATCCTTCCTGGGGTTTGCCTCTGAGAATGAATTTGGACAGTCATGCTCGCTCCAATAATTGCCACGTTTTCTTCATTTGGATACAAAATTTCGAGAAAGACTTGCATGAAATTGGGATTCAGGTGTCCGGAAATGTCATTATGTGAGAATTTGTGGTTCTTGCTCTGCTTTCCTAACTGATATGAAATGATATGCAGGATTATAGCCAATTCAAAGCCTTGTCCAAAGTGTAAGCGGCCAATAGAGAAAAACCAACGGTGTATGCATATGACATGTACACCTCCTTGTAAATTTGAGTTCTGCCGGTAAGGTTACTTTCTTCTAAACGGAGCATTTTCATTTATTTTTGTGTACTCATTTTTATTGGGTCTATTCTTATGGCGATACAAAGTAATTTTCTTGGAGCCGGTATTGTACGCATCTTACTTGTTATATATTATCTGTTCAAACAGGCTCCATCTGGGTACATGGTCTGATCACGGGGAGAGAACTGGTGGTTTCTATGGCTGCAATCGTTATGAGGCAACCAAGCTGGAGGGAGTGGTAGGAATTGAAAAACTTTGGCTCTTCTTGGGCAAAGTTATGTGAACACCGTGATCACAACTGGAGAGGATATAAGGAGGCATATGAAACTCAACCGCTCAAAATCACACAAAGTCATATGCCAGCATCCATGCATAACACCTTTAATTGCAGCCTAGATTGTCTGTGGAAAATACGATTGCGCGCGTTTTAATTAAATGTAACTGTAAAAGAGCAAACCCTATAGTCTTCATAAGTATAACAATTCATGTCCACCTTGAATGATTCGCTCGCGTGTAAAAGTTAAACAACAAAACAAATAGAAAGGAAAAGATAGAAATCAGATGTTGCTTCAGCTCCAAGTAAATGCAATGCAGCTACTTTGAACTTGCTGAAGTGCAGGAGTGCGTCGGCATGCCTCGTATCTACACGAGAGACTGAAAAGGGGAAAAAACTCACAGTGGAACCATACCAATCAACGCCAGCGCAGACCCATCAGAGGATGCAACAGGCCCTGCGTTATTTATGCTGCTAATGAAATGTGGGAGGAATGCAACTTCTGAAGGCTTGGTGAAGGAGGAAAGAGCAAGTCACAAGATAAACAAAAAGCTAAACGAACTGACCGAGCGACACGATTGTATCTCTGGCTCTTTTGAGGGGTCTGGCATCGGGCCGTATTGATCCGGAGGGATGCTGCTCATGGTAGCGAAGAGGGAAGAGGCGTCTGAATGCATCGACCTCCATCTCCGATGACCAATTTCCAGCAGCATTCGGCGTCCCCGGTTTCTATGGCTATCTACAGATAGTGATTTTCGCCAAGAGAACTAAGATTAAAACTGCGATTTAAAAAAAAAAACAAGAAGCCCATTCAACTCTCAAATGTCTAGCTAAGTGTCCTTGAAGGTCTTCAACGGATATATTGAAGATTTAGGTATATAAGGAGCAGCGAAACTGTGTAGAAGGTTAGGCACATTGAATACTGCTTGTACGAACTAAGTTGGAAAACATCTCTGATTTTGTTTTGTGTTTCTTTCTATATTGGTTTAGTAATATTGGTTTAGTACTGTAATAGCTAACGGTTAAGTGTACAAGTGTAAATGCAATGAGTGTGTCTAGATAATGTGATCAATCAAGTGAAAGGAATATCACTAGTCAGTTATAACTTGCACTACTAATTACTAATGGAATCCAGTAGCTGTAAAGCTGTTAGTTGGAGAGTAGACGTAGGCTTGGGTATAAAGTCGAACCACTAATTATCGATGTGTGATTTTCATTCTACACTTTGTTTTCTTATTAGCATCACACACACTATCTGGCATCTGTCACTATCTTGAGTGGTGTTTGTTTGATATTTCACAAAAGTTTAACTATATCACCACACAACCTATTCAACCCCCATTTATGTTGTATTGTTAGCACCAACAATTCTTATCTATCTCAATTCATCTCTAATTATCTAGGAATCCTAGAAATTGCCAGCCCTAACTCCAAAGGCACATTTCAATGGGTTTATTTTCAACTTAAACTTCTGCATCCTAATAAGAGCTTACTCAAGATAGTTCATATGACTTACCAGGTCTGATTTGACGATGATATCATCGATATAGACTTCCATGCACTCCCCAATCATGTCGTGGATGATGAAGTTCATTGTTCTCTGGTACGTAGCTTCAGCATTCTTCGGCATCACTAACCATTCGAACTTGCCGATGGCTCCAAGACATTTCAATGCAATCTTGTGCAAAGCTTCCTCCGCTACGAATATTTGATTGTATCTCGAATGGCCATCCATTAAAGACATAATCTCATTACTAAATGCCGAATCAACCCGCATGTCATCCATTGGCATTTGATTTTCGTTTGCATTCAAGTCTCTAAAATCGATGCAAACCTTCTGTTTACCATTCTTCTTCTTTTTGGGAACTATATTGGAAAGCTATTCGACATACCATGCGATTTTAATGAACTTGCTGCTAAAAGTCGCCCTATTTTTTCTTTGATCTTGAGAATGACTTCCAGAGTAAACCCCTTACGAGGTTGCTTGTGTAGTCGAAATCCGTTTTTAATTGGCAACTTGTGTTTTATAGCATCTTTTCCTAATCCTGACATCGCATGATAATTCCAGGCAAAACAATCTTTGTGCTTCCTCAATAATTTGACTAGTTGTACCTTGAAATCATTGTCTAATAACACATTGACATAAATTGGTCGATGACATTATGCGTCTCCGATATCAACTTCAATTAGTGGATCTTGAGCCTCTGCTACTCTATCATCTTCTTTTAGTGGTAATTGTTCAGATTTTGCTATGCAATCGGTGATATCAACAAATAGCTTAGTCTCTTCAGCCAAGTAGGCTGAATATCTCTCATCAAGGTCTTCCAACAATGGATGGTTCTCCATGTA